CAGCAGAACAGTAGAGTGGGCCAGCTGGCCTAGCACTCCGCTCTTTCCAGGCAGAGACCAAAACCAAGGCACAGATGTAGAGAACAGAAACAATGCAGCTGCAGGCACCTGGCCAGTTCACCAGTCAAGGCTGCTGCTGCATGGCATGGGAAGCAGAGAAGTGGAGCAGGTAAGGGTGGAGAAGCGTTCAGGGTACAGGTCAGGAAGAAAAAAAATTTTTTTTTTTTGTACTGGAGATCAAACTTGGGACCTTGCGCTTACAAGGCAGGCACTTATGCTGCTGAGCTATCTCCCCGGCCCTACGGAAGAAATTTAAATCAGTGAAAAGTTTTACACAGGCAAGTGACATGTTTACATCTGTTCAAAGAGCCCCGAGGGACAGTGTAAAGCAAAGATTTAGAGCCTTAGCTCTAGGCTTACGGGGTATGTGAACTTTGATAAGATATAAAATATGAATTTCAACTGATTAAAATATAAATTTATGGTATATAACATGTTTTAAGATACATATACACTATAGAAATGCTAAATCAAGTTTATAAATATACATGCCCTCATGTACTTTCTTGTGGTGAAAACAAATATATACCCTTCTGAACTTCAGGCTTGTAACTGTTAAATAGGAAGTAAATGAGATAATGAATGTAAAGCACTGGAACACAGAAAATAATAAATGGCCCCTTTCACTATAATGAGGTTCTGGGAGACGTAAATGGGTACCTAGATTGGACATACTGAGGTCTTGAACAGACATGGAAAACCAAGTCAATCTGAGAAATATTTAAGGAATATGACTGACAAAACCCAATGACCGCCTGGCAACAGGTATGTGTTGAGGGAGAAGAAGCCCATGCAGAGGATCCAGGTCCAGGATGGGTCTAGGATGACAAAGAGAATTCAGGAGGCACAGCAAGTTGGGGAGTCTTGAGCATGCTGAGGGGTCTGGGTGCACGCAGAAGTGAATATCCATGAGGTTAATGGATAAATTTGGAGTTGGGTGTGGGTGCAGCTGCCATTTGGGGAAGAGGGTGGCATGAGTATCTCACACCACAGAAGGAGAGAGATTTCCATGAGCAGGTTTTCAGGCAGAAGAGCATAAGCCCCAAGAGAACACTGGGAACACACGCAATTGAGACAGGGAAAGAAAGACACCCAAGGAGAAAGGAAAGAACCACAGAGGATAAGAAAAACCAGCAGGGCTGTGCAGTGGAAGTGAAAGGAGCAGAACCTCAAGGAAGCAGTCCTCAGTGGAGCCCAAAAGCTCAACATGTTCCAAGTATGTCCACAGGAATTAGTAGACATTGCCACTCATTTTAGATCAGAGTATAAGTTTTAGAGGACAATGGGAACAAATGGCCAATAGTGGGTTCAGATCTAAGTGGCAGTGAGGAGAAGAGCTTAGCACACATCTGATAAAAAGGGTAGAAAGGAATTAGCAGGAGGTGGATGTAGGGTCAAGGGTTAGGTTAACCACTGTTTCTAAAATGAAATCCTCTGAGTGTTCTGTGAACTGAGAAGGAAAAGATAGAAAGATGGCAAAAGGCAATGGTGCAGGAGAGGCTCCCTTACAAAACAAGTCCTCGAAGGCTGGGGAGATAGCTCAGAGGCTTAAGTGCCTGCATGGCAAGCGCAACATTCTGAGTTCGATCCCTGGTCCTAAGAAACTACCTACCTAACAAAACAACTAAATGACTAACCAAATAAATAAATAAAATATCACGAATCAGAACAAGTCCTCAAGTAAAGAAGCAGGCAGCTGTCAGCTACTACAGAAGGGCCTGACTAAGCACAGATGAGCCAAACAGATTTTGTCTCCCTCGAGCCTTCAGTCTGGGTGGACAAGGGGAGGGAGCCTCTCTGTCCATGAATCTGCCAGAGAGTGTGCAACATGCACTGGCATCAGTCCTCACCCTTGGGTGCATCAGGATGGAGGAGCCAGAGGGTGCCTGCTTGACACAGGCTTCCTGAACTAAGACTGGCTGTCACCTCTGTGTTTGCTGTCCATCACTGCAGCCACACCAGGCCTGCCTGCCAGGAATTCAGTATTTTTAGTGTGAATGAAAAAATATACTTACAAGGAACTTTATTTCCAGAAATTTTATACAGCTATAAGAGTACACTTTAAGACAAAACAATTTTAGGTATAAAACATAATTAAATGTTAATTTAAAAAACAGCACACATGCTCAGTGTTCATGGTCATAATGTTTGTTCTCCATCCCCTAATTTAGTATGTTGAGACCTAATCCCCTAGTAGTACAGAGTCCACCAACAAAATGTATTCACACTTCAGTAAAAGAAAAATAGTATGATTTTTTTCAACAGATGGTGTTATTCTTGTACGGGGGGCCCTACTGGATGTCATGTGTCACAGAAAGCCCACTGCACTGCCAGCCTTTAAAAAAGAAACTGAAAATGCATGTGCAACAATCTCAGTGACCAAGGTTACTCCAAGTGGCAGTTCACCATACTAATCTCATGGTGTCTCAATAAATTTAGTATTAAGATATTTATACAAGTTTTCTTTTCCTAAAGTGTGTATATATCTCTTGTACTCTGTATTAAGTGGTGGCACTGTTAGGGGTGATCAAATCATGGAGAACCAATGAACATGATTAGTGTTCTTATGTGAGTCCTGAGGATGTTTATTTGTCCCTTCCACCATGTGAGGACACAGGAAGAAGGCATCATACACAAGGAACAGGCCCTCATCAAACAACAATTCCTCCAGCACATTAATCTTAGAGCATCCCCAACCACCAAAACTGTAAGAAACAGATGATGATCACAAGCCATTCAGCTTATGGAAGGATGCGCCTCAAGTCACGGTGAGGTTGACCATATTGTAAGTTGAAGATGTACTTTATACACCTAACCTATTGGCCATCACAGGTTGGCAGCACAGTGCACCACAGCAGACTGGTTCTTTCCCCTGGTGATCACGAGGCTGACTGGGAACTACAATTTGCTCCTGTGGCTCAGCAAGGCTAGAGTATCATACCATGTATCTCTAGTCCAGGAAAGATCAAAATTCAAAACCTGAAGTACAGTGTTTACCAAGTACATGTCAATTTTGCACTATCATAAAGCTGAAGTATTGTAAGTCAAATCATCCTAAGCAGGGAACTATCTGTAGTTTGCTACAGTAGACCACAATAATTACAAATAGGCAGCCAAAGGTTAAGAGAGGGGAAGAGATGAGGTATGGGGTTCGATAAGTGGAGAAGGCCAAGTGGGCCCAGAACTCTCTTGGGCCAAAGTATTTCTCCCAACCTGTAAGCATACACTGACAATTTTAACCACTTAAGAAGCAATAAAATTTTTCACTTCAAAGTTGCAGATAAAACACTAAAAATGAAATGTATATAGAGATTATATATAAGCTAAACTCATTTTTTTTTCTTTTTTTGGTTTCAATTGTTATAAAATGAGCCAGGTGGGCTCTGGAATTTGACAAGGCTGCAAGAGGTACAACACCCACTAGCTATGTAACCTGGACCAGTACACTTAACCTCTGAGAAAGCAGATCACATGACAGATGAGCCCCAACTCCTTTCAAATCTATCCTGCAGAAGTTCTAAATGCAGAAGTTCTTAGCTTTCTGGGGATTACAAATTCCTCTGAGTCTAATGAAAGCTATAAATTCTCCCTCCTGCTTCCTCAAAGTAAACACAGACACACAAAATCCTGCATCTCATTTGAGGGAGTCCCTGACGTCCACCCTCAGGCCCTAGACAAGAGGTGGGAAACACTAAAGTGCAAATCTTTATAATGAGGACAATTTGTCTTCCTTAGCAATGGGACCACATAAAAGTGACCTCTGCCAGACACAGTTGATAGACCATGGTGTCTCACCTATGTGTCCTTCTCAATTACAAGCCTCCTTATCTCTGAATTCCTTATCACCAAGCCCAGCTGCCTGAACACTGTTAAGTGCTTATTTTAGTTGTGCATTAAACTGATAAGGACCATAAAGGTTTGCGTTTGTAATTTTCAGGTTTTTAGACTTCAGTGCTTCTGAATAAGTACAGTTTTAAATCTTCCTTTTGACAACAAACCTGGATCACATGCCAAAGATGATGGGTTTGCATTGCAGGGGTCTATCAGCTCCAAAATATTCTTTCTTTTTGTGTAATGGGAATTTGAACCCAGAGCCCCATACACAGTAGACAAGTACTCCCACTGAGCTACAACCTCAGGCCTTTTTAATTTTGAGACAGGATCTTATTAAATTGCCCAGAATGGCCGGGAACTTACAATTCTCCTACCTCAACATCCTGAATAGCTGGAATTACAGGCATGTACCATCATGCCTGGGGGCAGAACTAAATTTTATTTCATTAGAGGGGTAGAAGCTATGCCTCATTTCCAGGACAAAACATGATGACTGTTGCCAAGCAACAAAAGAAAAACACATTGCATCTGCTTTAGCAGAAATTCCTTGTATTTGTGTTAGGAACCCTTTACACTCTCACATACATATAACATTCATTCAGGAAGCAATGTACACAGTATGTTCACTTTAAGGATAAAAATATTCTATTTAAGTTGATCAGAGAGGGCTTTCCAACAAAGCCCAGCACCATAGACCAACCCACACTTTTATCAATGTTTCCTATTACCCTTGCACAGAGGTGAGATGCCTCTTTGCAAGTGACAAAAAAAGGAACTGTAACACATTGTTCAGTGACAACATCTTAATAGCACCTATAATTTAGGAAAGCAAAAGCTATTTCAACTTGGGCAATTTTATACATATGATGAAATGGTTTAACTTTTCAGTATTTTGATATTCAATAAGAACCACACTTTTGGGGCCAGGGAGATGGCTCAGTAGAATAAGTACTTCCGTGGCAAGCACAAAGCACAAGGGCCTGAGTTCAATCCCCGGTTCTGCCAAAAAAAAAAAAAAAAAAAAAAAGAACCACACTTTCACTTTCATGTATGATTTTAAAAAACAGACAATCCATTTACAGAGTTGGGGAAAATTTCATACTTACCAATAGCACAATGTAAAACCTATGAGAGAAAAAAGGAGGGGAACAATTAATTAAGATCAATGGCATTATAGTATCATACACGTAAATTACTATTTCAGTAAGAACAGAGCAGTGGCTACTGACACTAATGCATTTCAACAACAAATACTCCATACTTAAACTTAGCAAAAATAAAAAATAAACTTGGCTTTGGGCTACTTAACAAAATATGAGCTCACGCTTGGGTTTTTTGGTGCATCTTTGAGAGACATCTTAAGGAAGATGTCATCTTTGCTTAGTTATTCGTCAGGTGTCAAAGAGCTCTTTTATAACACACAAACTCATAAGAGCAATAAGCACAGAATATCTCCTATATCCTCTGCTCTGTAGAACAAGTCAGACTAGGGAACAGAAAGTCAGAAGGGTGGTTGTTGTTCCTCCCCTCTGGCAGGCCCTTCACTGTAGACACTGATTCTACAAGACTTCATCCTCTGGCCCTGTTTTGCATTGCACATGAACTCATGTACTGGCACTTCCTGGTCTCACTCCAAACCCTACATCTCCAGGGCTGCCATAGACATATCGACTTAGTGCACCAGCAGCAGTATGAATACAGCCGGTCTTGAAAGCAGTCCTTCTTTTTCACCTGCTCTGCTTAGTAATCATCCACTCCTATTTTGCTGGGTTCAACTTCTCACCCCCAAGTCCAACTGATTTTCAAGTCCTGCTGATACTTCTACCCACCTTACTTCTCTTTTGCATTACTGATGAGTATTGAGTCCTTCACACAGAGCTACATCCCCAAGACATTTATGTTTGTCTTTGAAAAAAGATCTCATTAAGCCTTATTAGGCCAGGCTCAAATCTGCAATCCTTCTGCTTCAGCCTCACAGAGTACTGGGATTACAAGCATGTGCCACAACACCTGGCAAGTCTTCTTCATTTTTATATCCAGTAGCTTGCTCAGTGATTTTATTTTTAAAACAATTTATTTATCATAAGTTGATATTTACATTTGGCTACATCATGTCTATACTTTTAAACATTCACATACTGAAATATGTATTTTACCACCATCGCCACTCTATCTCAGTGGTCATGCAACTAGCCAGGTTAGTTCTAAGTCCCTTTCAAACTCATCCTTTATACAGTAATGCTTTAGCCCTGGTGATAGAACAGAAAAACAAAATAATCTGCAGCCATCTACAAGAGTGATATGATGATCAAAGCTATTCTAGATAGTAAGACTGTGGCTAGGGAGATGGCCCAGTAGAATAAGCGCTTGCCTGGCAAGCACAAGGGCCTGAGTTCAATCCCTGGTTCTGACAAAATAAATAAATAAATATAGATGGTAAGACCTAATGCTTATTGTAATCTTTTATAGAATTTTTCAAAACTTCTCTAGCAGTCATTGTACTGTTTGATCCTAATAATAGCCCTGGTACATAGGCAGGACAGATATTGTATCTCGACTTATCCATGCACAATCTAAGGCTCTAGAAGAAGCTGCATAATGTGTCCAAGGTAGAAAATGTTGGCTAGGATCAAGAACCTGGCTTTTACTTCTACTCTACTGCTTTTTTCTTTTCTATATTACTTCTGACCAGACTCCACACTCAAAAACTATTATTTCACAAAACTTGCTATTTGTCAGGGAAGAGGGGAGACAATCTGGATTTAAATAGTTATCTGCACAAATTTACTGAGAAGAGAATAAAGAACTACCATGCTACAAACTTTTCCAAAAAGACAACACTGCTAAAGAACCTCGTGTGTGAACACTGTGATCTGAACCTCTTGCTGCAAAGTTGAGGAAAACTAAATGATATACCTATATTCAAATGAGGAATGAAAGAGATGAAAAAGAAAAAAGAAAACAAAACACCCTTTGAGATTAGATAGGCAGTACCTATTTTCTACTCATGCAAATAGCAAGACACCCAAGCTGCTGACTGGTGATGGGGCACTACAGGAAAGAGTGACAGTAGTTCAGGGTTATTGTGTGTATTTTAGTGATAGAACAGAAGGTCTAATACACCAAGCCTTCCTTTCTTAATCATACACATATTTTAAAATGCCTTCTATACCACCCTAAAAGGAAACTCAGATGATATGACCTAGCTACACAAATTTTTTAAATGTTTTGATATATAAGACATAAAAATAATTTGCTTTTAAAAATATGTATTTAAAAAAATAAATAAAAATATGTATTTTGGGGCCAGGGAGATGGCTCAGTAGAAGAAGCACTTCCCTGGCAAGTGCAAGGGCCTGAGTTCAATCTCCAGTTCCACAAAAATACAAAACAAAAAACAAAACAAAAACAAAAAGCAAACAAACAAACAAACCAAACCAAAAAAAAAAAAATATATATATATATATATAATTTCAATGTGCAAATGTATGGAGACATAAAAACCCAAGATGTACATATCAATTTATGATAAATAAACCAAAATTTAAACATAACTAAAAAAAAAAAGAAAAATAGCCTTTTTATTGGTATCAGGGATTGAACTCAGGACCTTGTACTTACCAGGCAGGTACTTATGCTACTGAGCTATCTCCCCAGCTAAAAATAAAATTATTGAGCCAAGTATGGTGGCACATGTCTATAATCACAAGTTTAAGCCTAGTCTGGGTAACTTAATAGACACAGTCTCCAAATAAAAAATAAAGGGCTGGGGATGTAGCTCAGCATGCAAGTCCTGTGTTTAAGATCTAATACTGCAAAGGAAAAAAAAAGAGCCCCTCTTAATAAGTACTAGAGAATAAAACAGCAGAGGGGTGGACTAACACTGTAATAAAACACAGTGGTAAGGTAAGTAATAATAGAAATGTGACAAAGCAGAAAAACTAAAGATAGTTCACAGAAAACCTACTGTTCTGTTCTTCAAATGCTGCAGATAGATAGGCAACTCATTTCTAAAAAACATCTCAGAGATTTTATTCTTTAAACAGTGTAAGGATAAACAGACGGTGATTTAGAAAAGAAAAACAGTAATGCAAGGGGTCATAAAGTAGTTAGGTATTAAACTGGGGATACTTTTAGGATAAAATGAAAAACTACAGCTATCTCAAAATAAAATTTTTATTTCATAACCAAGATTTCTTGTTCAAACAGAGACAATAATGAAAATTATCACTGGAGTAGTCTGCATTAAAATTTCCAAAGAAATTTCATTCTTCCAAGTGTCTCTACTATTTAATGAAGTCTGACCAGGAATCTCAAATCTATCACGTATCTTCAATCAGTCTCATTTATTCTGCAGTAATAACACATATTAAAGTCCTTTTCAACTAAATGTGCAAGGGGTAATCCTTTAATACTTTCAGAACAGAATGCACTGAACGAATAAATTATTTTGAGAAAATGTCTTTATTTCACTTAAGCTTCCCTGTATTATCAGTAGTAGGCAGAATTCTAAAGATGATTTCCCCAAGATCCCTGTTCTGGCTCTTCAACCAAAAAATGATCTAGATACTGTAGAGCAGGTATTTCATAAATTTATTTCATAAATGTAATCTCAACCAATTTTGAGGTACAGAGATTATGTAGGTATACCTGATCCAAACAAGAAAGCACTTTAAATGCTGAATTTTCTCTGGCAAGTGGCAGAAGAGGAGGTAAGAGATATTCAAAGCATAAGAAGCATTCAATACGCAATTTCTGTGCAAAGGATGGATGAGGGGTCATGTACAAAGAACAGACAGCAGCCCATGTGAACCTGTAAAGGACCTCTAGCCAACAGTTGGCAAGTAAATACAGAGATCAGGTCATCAACTACAAGGAAATGGATTCTGCCAATAATCCAATAGTCTGCAAGCAGATTATTTCCTTGAGGTATCCCTACAAACCAGCTGACCTGGCTGAGATGCTTACATTACTCTTGTGAGATCCTAAACAGAACCCATCAAATCCCTGCTTCTGACTTATAGAAATGCAAGCAAATAGATGAGTGCTATTTCAAGCACCTAAGTGTGTGCTATTTTATTGTGCAGCAGCAAGAACAACAAAACGCTGAACAGAGGCTGGCCAGATAACTCAATGGACTAAAGGGCCTGCTTAGGCAGGCTCAGTGACCAGGATTTGATCCCTGGTGTGCCCATGCTGGCCCTGCACCCAGGTCACACTGAGACAGTAAATGAGACTGGGCATGATGGTACGTGCCTATAATCCGAGCTCTTGGGAAGCTGAAAACAGGAGGATCACTACAAGTCTGATCTGTATAGTGAGACCCTGTAAACCCTGCACTAAATACATTTTTTAACAAAGGCTAAACAAAAACCTTATAACTTAAGTTTTTGTTTAGTATCTCATTCCAATTTTCAGTATTAGCATGTATTACAAAACTATATACATCTGTACATGGATTAACCTGAGGAGAGGAACACAAGTCATGGGGGGAGGGGTGACAAATCTTTATTGAGCTGGACTATTTCGCACAGCAAAGGACATCTGCCAATTGCAGCCCCAGTCACTATGGCAATCAAAACACAGTTTTCCAAAGATCACTCTAAGGACTTAGCTTATTGAGACCCACTAAGAATCACTAGACTGGAGTAAGCATACCTTAAGAGAAAAGATTTAGATGCACTGCTGTATTTAAAATCTCCCATAAAAAACATTTCATACATTTCTCTTTCTTGAACCCTTTCCATTTTTACCTACTGAAAACTCATGGATCTTCCTTAAATTTAACCTAAATGTCAAATAGGCTCTTTTTTTTTTTTTTTTTTTTTTTTTTTCTGGCCTGCTCAGCCCAACCTGAGGGCAGGGCTAGTGAGGTATGTGGTGCCGGGGATGGAACCGCAGTCCCCTGTGCCTGCCTAAGCAGGCACTTTAGACCACTGAGCTATTTCACCGGCCCTCAAAGGTCATTTTTGAAAAAAAAAAAAAAAAAAAGGCTGGGAAGATGGTTCAGTAGAATAGTGCTTGCCTGGCAAGCATAAGGGCCTGAGTTCAATCCCTGGTACTACCAAAAAAAAAAGTCATTTCTCACAGCAGGCTACTTAGAAAAATATTTTTAGAAACAGTTA